ACTCATTGGTAACGACTAGCCCACAAGATTGTGGTGGTGAAGTTGACTAGCTACCTCTCCTCTAGTCTCTCACTTAAAAATTAAGGGCAGCTAGCACAGATAGTCTATCAGTAGCTTTACACAAAATTAAACAACAACAAAAAACCTATAATATTTTCTGTGTCATCACTTGTATGATCTGTCTATTCATAATTATTGCAATAATAAAAGTTATCGTTTAGATAAGTTTCAGTAATTTGAGTTCAAAAGGGAACAAAAACAATTATTGCAGCTTTTTCTTTGTCTAGCACTGTTCTAAACGCAAGAAATTTCATCCTAGTGAAGTTGGTTACTGATATGCCTGGAAGACAAACTACTAATATGTTATTGTTGGAATGTATTCTATCCTTGGATGGGTTCTTTTGGATTATTTTGTAAAAATAATGCCAAGTCTAGTCCATGTTAATGATAACCAATTAGCTTATTTCTTCCTTAGTGTTTGCTACTGGCTACTTTCACTTCTAGTTGTAAGTCTAAGAGTACAAAAAATGTTTTGACAAAAAATTCTTTGATTGAAGGTAAGTATGCCTAACTCACAGAATTTCCTCTCTAACAACTCTAGTTACTGAATAGACATGTAAACCTCACTTCTAACAATGAACAACTTTTCTGACATGAACTCATAAACTCACTGAATACTTTTTATCTTCACTAAGTGCTTATACATATTTATAAATGATGTACCCTTGTCTTGAGATATTAGATGAAGCTTTTTGAATATTACATCATCTTCATGCTGTCCTGTCACTAGGGGTAGTTCTCCTTGGGTATGGTCAAGAGAATTCACCGATGTCTCTATTTTTGGTGGTGCTTTGGAAGTAGTCTTGACAGGAACCTTGAATTTCTGTTGGCAGATTATTCTCTGGAGCTACTCTGTTAACCATTCTAACACTGATGCTCTTCCAAAGACAATCATCTTTAGCTTGGATTGCTTGCACCTTTGGATTGTGTAACCTACATTGTTAATTCTAAAAGTACAATATATGGTCATTCCTAACACTTGCTTAACCTTGGAGTTTGTCCTTTCTTGTGGTGGGAATTGTATAGCCATACCATGTCTCCTAGGTGGAATCTAGTCTTAGTAGCATTATATCTACTTTTCATTTTATCACAAGCTGAGTTAACTTCTTCCTAAGTAAAAATCATGTGTGACATCTTTATTTTTCAGATCCACAAGAGCTTTTCCAATCATCAGTCTCTCAGGACATACTGGAGTGTTTGTTTTTACTATATCCCAGTCACTAGATGAAGCTTTATTTCTAATGTCTCCTGATTTGAGTATTTCACATTTTGATGATACAAAGACCACCATCCCTTTTGTGACTAGAAATTCAAACATGTAGTGTAGTAATTGTCATATGGTACACATGAAGCTATTTGAAGTTAGCCTAACCTCACATCCATGTCTGAACATGAAGTCAGTTCCCAGTATGCATTCTTCCTTAATGTCAATTACTCACACATCATGAGGTGTAGAGAAACTTCCCACAGTAAGGATAACTTCCAACTTTTCTCTTGCTGGAACTTTTGTTCATCTGCTATTCATATCAGTCCCTCTTCTTTTTTTATCTTTGGAGGCAATTTCTCACCTTTCATTACCAAATCTGGTTAATCAATTGTAGCTGTAGAACTTTATCAGCATAATTACATTCTTGTATTTGTGGTAACACCAGGAATCATAGTAGGAGGATTTCTAAGTTTTCTGTATTAATAATGAAACACCATACATTCATTTTAAGAGAGTCCTTAATACATAAGTTTTGGAAATCAAAAAAAGAATATAAAAATTTTGTTTAATAATTGAAGACATAAATTATTTTTCTATTACCAGTCCTTGTTTTCATCATTAACTCATAACGGAATATGTCTGTGGCCATAGCTCCCAAATGTATTGGGTATCAGACAAGGTCCAATTGCAGATGTTAAACAAGCCAGTAACTATGGAAAGTCAGTTAAGGGTTAGGAGTTGAATACTTGAACCCACAACATTTCAACTCCTACTGTCTTCTGCTGTCTGCAGCAAGCTGTGGAGATTTAGGGTGGTTTATTTATACTTTAAGGTTATATTTAAATATTAAGTAAAACTGTCTTCCCACAACTGGCTGCAGACAGCAAAAGGCAGTAGGAGTTGAGATGTTGTGGGCTCATTCACTCAACTCCTAACCTTTAACTGATTCTCCATAGTTGCTGGCCAGTTTAACATCTGCGTTTCGATCTTCAGTAATAGATGGAATGTACCTAATGAATTTGGGAGCTATGGCCACAGAAATTTTCTGTTATGAGTTGATGATGAAAACAAGGACTGGTAATGGAAAAAAAAAAATTAATTTTTTAGTCTCATTACAAATGTTTTTGATTTGTGTATGTATATATTAATTGTTTTATTCATGATTTTAAAAGGGGAATGATGATTGAGGATGTAAAAAACTGCAATATTTAAGAAATAACATTTCAAGTATTGAATATCATTTCTATTAATGCAGTAGGTGAAATTATATCAAACACTAGCAATAGAAGATTTATCCACCATAAGCGTTTCTCACAACATGCTATTATAAATCAAGCATTTGTACATTAACTCAGTTTGGGTAACAACTAATCAATAGCTGAGGTGATACTGAAAAATGATGAGATTTTTTTAAGAATGGAAAAAGAAAGAAACATTCAGTCACACTGCTGGTAAAAGCTTATAAATTTATGTACTCAGATCATAGTGAATTGGAGTATTTTGTGGTACTCAACATTATTTTTAGTTTTATAGACATTGTCAGAATTTAAAAAAAAATATATATATATATATATATAACTTTCCTTTTTTGCCAATTGTCAGATAGAGAGGCTTTTAGTTATACTTCTTAATAGCATAAATATGTACTATGTTGTTGGACTTAGAATTATTCTACAGTAGGTGTCTGTGACTTGTTGATAAAATCAACGATGAATAAACAGCATGCACTTCACTTGTTTTCAAAATAAACATATATATTCAGAACAAGTTAACCTATGTGCAATAAATTCTTCAATGCTATAGATAATATGAACATATCATAAATACTATATATGTAGTTTTCTCCTTCTTGTCAAATATCCTCTTAGGCCTATTCAATTACTTTAGAATTTCAGTTGACAAGCCGACCTATCTACTCTATTTCTATTGCACTATTATTCTCTGTGTTTCACTGACAATTGTGGTGCAAGTTACCATAATCATTTGGTCTTCTTTCTTTTGAAGATCCTCTGTTCCATTTGTCAAAGTGCACTCAGGCTGATTCAATTAGTTTAGAACCACACTTTGATGGAATAAAATTATCTTTCTTATCTTCTTTTCTACTGTTAATTTTACTCTTAACATATTAAATGTTACGCCTATCCCTTCTACGGTAGTTAACTTCACACCAACTTTATTCTCTTTTGCTATTATCTGTCTGTTGTTCCCACTCGTCCCACGCTACTTTATCACTTATCTATCTTCCTTCTGTATTCTCAATGTCAGTGAATTACTAACAAAACATCCTACAATCATCTCTTTTTAACTCATATTATAACAAAAACTAAACAATAATAAAATATTCACTCACAAAAATAAGTTAATCACTACCATCTAAACCAAACAGTATTTTATATCATGACATAAATTCATTTTCAAGATAAAATATTTAAAATTTTTTTTATTACTATATACAAAGACTATTTTTAGTTCATATACAAAGTCTGCTCCAACATTTGCAGTTCCTTTGATAGCTTCAGTGTGGAACCTGTGGTTCTGAAGGTACAATGCCCACCTCATGATCCTTGCACTGTTGGTCTTGTACCTCTGAATGTATGCAAGTGGTTGATAGTCTGACTGGATAATGAACTTCTTCCCATATAGATAGTTCTTGAATTCCCGAATGGCAGATATAAGGGCCAGACACACTCATTCAATCATGGAGTAGTTCTTCTCACTGTTTAACAGATTTTTACTTATATATGTTACTGGAAAAGTCCATCTTCATGTTCTTGTAAAAGTACTTCCCCACATCCAATGTCTGAAGCATCAGCCTGAACAGTGAATGATTTGTTGAAGTCTGGCAGTCTAAGAATTGGTGAGCTTCGCAACATGTTCTTTAATTTCTAGAATACCAGAATATAATTTATTATCCTTTGCATTTCATTTTAAAAATGGAAGGGTTATTCTAACAATAGAGAATTTTTCATTGATTGTAAAGTTAAGAAATAACATTGATTACTGCCATGTCAAATTTAAAGATTAAAAGCTTGTCAGGCTTTAAAACCAGATGCAGCTTCAAAAGAAAAAAAAAAAATCTGTATAAGTGGTGGTATATTCTCTGAGTTGCTTTGATATATATATATCCAAAATATGAAATATATATACTTCATATATATACATACATATATATATTGTTATGTATCTGCTTGTTTGATAATTTCTGGTAAAAATTATTTCCGAGAAACTTCAGCGAAACAGGTCCTTTCTTAATTAAAACTAGTTTATTTTTTCTCATTACAAACTTTGTAATACACTTAATTTCCACAGTTACTTTAAACTTAACTATTTTCATAAACACATGCTATAATTCACAGCGATTCATACACTTTACTTACGGTGCCTACTGCTCGCTTGACTCCATTCTTCCCCTTCAATCTATCTCCGGCTTATATACTAAAAAAGAGGGCGTCTAGCAAATGCTGGGACATTCGTAAGGTTACCTTCTAGAAACTCCAGCGCCCATGCTCCCAGCATCGCGTGACTTCTGCTGTCATAACAATATTATGGAACCCATGCATTGTTTTTCTATTCACAAAGGGAAACTGGAAAGTAAATGTACTTTTTAATTTTTAAAACATAGTTGTACAGTTGATATTATGCAATAGAAGAAACTGAATACTTTACAAAATTTCCGAGAGGTTTATTTATAATTAATATAACTTCTCCTTATTTATGTCACTGATTTTTCCAGACTGATGGTAATGCTAGCTTTTTGCGAGCAGCCAGGGCAGGCAACCTTGAAAAAGTCTTAGAATATCTGAAGGGGAGTATTGATATCAATACCAGCAATGCTGTAAGTTGACTGTTTTACATTATTTGAAAAAAATGAATGAATTGTCATATATGATATTTCATCAAAATATACTAAAGAGAAAGCTAGAGAGAGAGAGACTTTTCTTTTTTTTTAACAAGTAGGATACTATGAATCAAGATCAATATTGATTTTTATATGTTAACAGCAACACATTAAATTTTTGCCTGTATTCATTGAATAAAGTTTATTATGTATGGCATTATGTAAAGGTAAATCTCTAATATAAAAATTTTCCTTATGCTTTATTTAAACATTTAGAACATCTTGTTGCATGACTTATAACTTATACCCTTTTATATAATAAAAAGATGTTTTGTATAGAATGGACTGAATGCATTGCACCTTGCATCTAAAGAGGGTCATGTGAACATCGTTAGTGAGCTTTTGAAGCGAGGAGCCAATGTCAATGCTGCTACTAAGGTAAGTTTATATACCAAGAACCAAGGAAAAAATTTCATTATGTCACAGTGATTGTTTTAGAACTTTTAATTATATCATAATCTTCAAATCTGAGTAGAATTCTGTCTCATAATTTTTTATTTTGTTCTGTCAGTTCCAGGAGTTTAGTGTACTAGTACTACTGAAATGTTTTTTTTTTGTAACATGTTTTTAAAAACATAACTTTACAAAAAGAAATATGAGTGACTTTTAGCTGCCATAAAGTGAAATTACTGAACAGGATTACACTGTTTTTGTATGATTAACGTTTTTGTAGAGTTAAGACATTCTATGTATTTAATTCCTGTCTGGTTACATAAAATATGATTTTATTAAAACATAATTCTAAAGTATATTTTAATTTGAAAAAGGAAAGGGACAGTAAAAAAGAATAAAACTTTGAATTGATAACCAATTTATGTTGTTTCTTACCCTTCTTTTACAGAGGTATCAAACAGTTATTTATATGCCAAGATTTATATTTGCCTCTTTTGAATGTTTTATGTAATATATTTATGATGTTTCAAAAATGTTGCCTTATGATTAATTTTTATAAGGTGCTCTGCTAAAATATACTAATGCTAGTAAGAAAGATAATGTAATGCATAAACTCTTGGTTCATAAAATACCCATGCTGCTAATGAATGTGTTAAGAAATATTTTTAAAAAATGTCAGTTTTTTGTAGATGAAAATAAATGTTATTACAAAATATTTTTGTTCATCATCATTTCTATGCTTTACATAATGTAATGATGTAATAGAAGATAAAGCCAATACAGTTAGAATACCATGCACCTTATCAGCTTTAAAGTAATGTTTATTTCTTGTAAAGTTTTAATAGTGTTCTACATATGTGGATCAGTGTGAAAATTGTACCCTCATATTTTTCTACCCAACAGAAAGGAAATACAGCCTTACATATAGCCTCTCTAGCTGGCCAAGAGGCTGTGGTGAAGATTCTGGTGCAGAGTGGGGCCAATGTTAATGTTCAGTCCCAGAATGGCTTCACCCCCCTCTACATGGCTGCACAAGAGAACCATGACAATGTTGTTCGCTTCTTACTTGCTAATGGAGCCAATCAAAGCCTTGCAACAGAGGTTGGATATAATTTTAAACAACTCTCTGTCAGTTACACTTTTTAGATATTCTCCAAAAATCCTCGGGTTGAATGCAGGATTATTATACTTTTATGGTGCAGTCATACCTAAGTATATCCTAAAGTTTACTTGTGACAAAAAAATGCTTATTTTGTTTTTTTGTTTGAGGAGTTGCATAAACAAGCACAAAAGAACAGATATGTAAAATAATATACCACTTAAAGGTTCATTATCTTGCCTTTGTATACGCAGTACTTACGTATAAAAGCATGCATTTATTTTGGGAAAATTTCACTGTATGAATTTGGACAAATTGTATTATTATTATTACGCACAGCCAAACTATGTGGATTTGTACTTGTTTTTTGGTAGAAATTTAAAAACATGAAAATTTGAGGATATTGCTTTTCTGCAATTTTTCACAAAAGTGAAGTAAAAATAGTGCAGGATTTTGAAGTGTAATAGTAGCAAAAGGTTTGATTATATTGTTTTACATATAAATTTGTAAAATAATAGTTTAACATAATTAAATATAGACATTGATCATATGTAGAGAG